TATATTATAATTTAATTTTTGTATTTGAAGAAAAAAAATCGGTCTTCTAAAATAAGTTTTACAAGAATATTAGTGAAACATAAATAAATTTGACCATCAAAATAATAAATCTAAATTAGTCATTGAAACAAAAAAAGTTAAAAAATATATATATGTTTGAGGAGGATTAAATATACTCATATGGAATTATATTTATTTTTTAAAATAATAAAAAACTAACTTGAAATAATTTTTTTCATTTTCGTTAGGGGAAAAGGGTATATGTGAGCCATTTATATATAAGTAGGGGGTATATATGAGCCACTTTCATAACGAGGGGGTATAATCAACTCTAAATGACAAAGTTGAGGGGTATATCAGACCCTTTTCCCTTTAATATATGCTTATTTAAAAAAATGGTAGCATTGCGTAAAATTAATTTACTTGTTTGTTGAGGGATTTGGATTTGAGGCATTGTCAATTGAACCCTTGTGGTAGTGTTTATTGGAGTAGTAGTATTTCTTTTAAAATTAGGTAAGTAAATCATATGACTCATTGTGTTGTTTTAATCATATGATTTAATATATGCTTATGTAAAAAAAATGGTAGCATTGCATAAAATTAAAAAAAAAAATTGTTGAGAAATTTGAATTTGAGGCATCATCAATTGAACCCTTGTGGTAGTGTTAATTGGAGTAGTAGTATTTACTCTCTAAAACAGACGTGGTAAAAAAAACAAAAAAAACTAGCCCATCAGAAAAATTAAAGTTAAAAAAAGAATTAAAAATCAAAATTTTCCTTCCCTTTCCCTCTTCTTCTTCCTTCTTCATTCTTCATCACAACATTTTATTTTTCATCATGACCTCAAAGATTCACAGAGACATGAATCTAGTACCGGTGTTGTTTGTTCTGGTTGTTTGTTGGTTGTTCAGATCTGAAAGTCATGTGGAGCTCATTGGAACTTTATCGGAGTCATGGTTGAAGCTTTGAGTTCACCCACATGCCTGCAAAATAAATCAAAATAATGAAATCACAAAGGAATGAAGTAAGGGGGTCTGGTTTGATGTTTGTTGGTGACTGATTTGAATTTTGAGTGGCTGTTTTGTGGAGGTTTAGATGGGTGTTTGGTGATTAATGGTTTGTCATAAAAGAAGAAGGAATGGCGTTGTGCAGTTGGATTTGTGGTGGTGATGGGTTAGTTGTTCTTCGCCAGAGAAAACGAAGAGAATTGTGATATAAATTCAAATGAATGATTTTTCCGATTAGATTAGAGATAAAGTGGATGAGAGTTAAAGATGAAAAACGTATAATTATTAGAAAATCTTAATAATTAATTAGTATAAAATAGAGTTTAAAAAGTAATTAATAAAAAAGGAAAAGAGTAACTTACAAAAATTCTAGCTGTGTTTTGTATATGATTTTTATTTTTCTATTTATACACTGATACAGTTTTAATTACAATGAACTTAATAAGGAAAATGTGTTAATTGTTTAGTTAGCATATGAATATTTTGGATTCAAATTGGTATATTTATTTATAAAACTTAAAGTATTAATATATCAAGGATACCAGTATTTATAAAAAAAACTTAATGTATTAATATAATAAACAAGGTAAAGTATAGCAATTTAGTATATGAACACGACAATTTGAAAAATGGATACACTATTGTTAAACAAAAATGGATACACCAACATAGCATATATATGAATACATTGTTGTTAAACAAAAAATGGATACATTGGACAAGCCAAAAACAAGAAAAATAAAAAATAATAGAATGTGTAGGTATCAAAGTGTGTAGGTATGCGACTGTATAAAAAATTGAAAAAACCAACAACGTCAATCTCTTTTTAGTCAAATTTTTTCTGTAATAGTTGAGGTTTGGTGTTAACTCGGGTATTTGTTTATAAAATATAGTACTATTGTATCCAACTACACTTGTATGGCCTAATCAACCTTTCAAATTGGACAGATTACTTATGTATCCATATATACTTGTATTCACGAATCACCATTTCAATTTGTGTTAATATTACAGTACAAGTATCTATGTATATAAGTATTCTACTATATACAAATTTGACAATCACACAAACCTCAATCTCTTTTTGCTCGTGTTCTTCTTGTATTTTTTTTATAACTATAGCCATTATAATGGAGAAACAGATAATTCTTCAATTGAAACCTTATAAAAATAGATGAAAATATAGATGTATACAAATATAATTTTCATAAAAACGAGGAAAAAATTCAATTAGAAGATATTTTTTTCCCTCAAAGACAGGGCAAATGGTTCATTTTATTAAACAAAAGGAAATGATACAGACTTGGTTTAAGCCCAAGTCAAATAAAAGAAGAAGAAGAACCAAACGTAACAAGACAGCAAAGACAAAATAAAATAAAAAAAGACAAAAGCTCTAAACAACCATCGGACAAATGAAAGGTCACCGGAGAAGATGATGAATTCAAATCACAAAAATTGATCCTAGAGTTATGTAAAAGAATCTTACATTGGTTGGAATTTGTGGGGGAAATATAGAAAATTTGTGATAAAGGGGTATTGATGAAAGAGAATGTATTAATGAGGGTAAATATGGAGACCAATCACATAAAATGTGCCTAGACATAATTAATTATGTGTGTAATAATAATTTTTCTATTTAATATTTAATAACTTCCTATTTATTTATATATAATTAACTTTGCTATTTATTGTCACAAATATCAAACCTATACATTTTAAACCAATTTCATATCTGCATGGACAACCACGGATCATATGGGAGCAGGAGGAAATAGATCAGATGAGAATCTACAATATGCAGTGATCGGAAAATTCTCTTACGGCTGGCCACATATTCATGAATTGCGGAAAATAATACCCAAGCAATGTGAGTTGAAGGGGGGATGTAACATTGGTTTACTCAACAATAGACATGTTTTGATTAGGGCTAGCCAACTGGAAGATTATGTAAATCTCCTATCAAAGCCGGTTTTTAACATCACTCATAGGAACTAGTCTTACCCAATGAGGACATTGGAAAGGGATCTTCTTTTTTATCCAGAGGAGGAAGCGACGACTGCTATTGCGTAGATATCCTTCCCATTGCTTCCTCCTAATTTTTTGGGAGGGAAGCAGTGTTCTCTTTAGCATCGGCAATAGGAAAGCCTTTACAAGTCGATATGGCAACCAAGAATCAAACCAAGCCAAGTTGCGCGAGAGTAAAGGTGGAAGTGGACTTACTGAAAGATTTTCCAAAACGTATTAACATAGGAGGAAAAAGGGTGAATGGAGAAGTAATGAAGAAATGGATTAAGATAAAGTATGACTACATACCTAAATATTGCAAGACATGCATGATTCAGGGGCATAACAAACAACAATGCTATGTTGAACATCCGAAATTGCAGCCAAGGAATGATAATAAGGACGAGGGAGATAGAGACAAGGTAAACGGAGAGGGAAAAGTGTAGAAGGATGAGGAAAATACAATGGAGAAAAAGGGAGGTGAAGGGGAACACTCGAAAGCACGACACAATGAGCAATTCAAAGAACATAGATATAAGAAGTGGGGCAGCAGGAGAAACAATTATCAGCAAGAAAAAGTTCGGAATAAGGTGGGAGTAATTATAGAAAATAAGTTTGATGCTTTGGAGGAGAAGAAGGAGACAACCGATGAGAAGGGTCATCAAGGAGAAGAGAAAGACAAAATGATAGATGAGAATAAGGTGGAAAAGAAGAGGGACATAAATCAATCAGCTTCATCAAGCAGTGGACAAAAGGACAGACAAACAGAGAGCCAATCATCAACAGCTGGGAAGGGGAAAAATCCGATAGAAATTTCCAGTGAGGAAAAAGAAACAGTCGTGGAGGGCACTCCCAACTCAACAAGAAGTAC